CCATCTGACAAAGGGCTAATATCCAGAATCTACAAAGAACTAAAAGAGATTTACAAGAAAAAAAAAATCCGATTCAAAAGTGGGCAAAGGATATGAACAGACATTTTACAAAAGAAGACATGTATGAGGCCAAAAAACATATGAAAAAATGCTCATCATCATTGGTCATCAGAAAAATGCGAATCAAAACTACATTGAGATACTATCTCATGCCCGTTAGAATGGCAATCATTAAAAAATCTGGAGACAACAGATGCTGGAGAGGATGTGGAGAAATAGGAACACTTTTACTCCGTTGGTGGGAGTGTAAATAAGTTCAACCATTGTGGAAGACAGTGTGGCGATTCCTCAATGACCTAAAAATAGAAATCCCATTTGACCAAGCAATCCCATTACTGGGTATATATCCAAAGGATTATAAATCATTCTACTATAAGGACACATGCACACGAATGTTCATTGCAGCACTGTTTACAATAGCAAAGACCTGGAACCAACCCAAATGTCCATCAATGATAGACTAGACAGGTAAAATGTGGTACATATACACCATGGAAAATTATGCAGCCATCAAAAACGATGAGTTCCTGTCCTTTGTAGGGACATGGATGAACCTGGAAACCATCATTCTCAGCAAACTGACATGAGAGCAGAAAATCAAACACCACATTTTCTCACTCATAGGCGGGTGTTGAACAATGAGAACACATGGTCACAGGGAGGGGAGCACTACACACTGGGGTCCATTGGGGGGACATGGGGGAAGGACAGGGGGTGGGGAAGTGGAAGAGATAGCATGGGGAGAAATGACAGATACAGGTGAGGGGAAGGAAGGCAGCAAACCACATTGCCATGTGTGTACCTATGCAACAATCTTGTATGTTCTTCACATGTACCCCAAAACCTAAAATGCAATAAGAAAAAAAATCTGGAGTCAACGGAGGTTGGAGAGAATGTGGAAAAATAGAAACACTTTTACGCTGTTGGGAGTGCAAATTAGTTCAACCATTGTGGAAGACAGTGTACTGATTCCTCAAGGACCTAGAAATAGAAATTCCATTTGACCCAGCAATCCCATTACTGGGTATATATTTAAAGGATTATAAATCATTCTATTTTTTATTACATTTTAGATTTTGGAGTACATGTGAAGAACATGCAAGATTGTTGCATAGGTACACATATGGCAGTGATTTCCTCCCTTCTTCTCCATCACCTATATCTGGCATTTCTCCCCATGCTATCTCTCCCCAACTCCCTACCCCCTGCTGTCCCTCCCCTATTTTCTGCTCTTGTGTCAGTTGGCTGAGAATGATGGTTTCCAGGTTCATCCATGTCTTTACAAAGGACAGGAACTTATCGTTTTTGACGGCTGCATAGTATTCCATAGTGTATATGTGCCACATTTTCCCTGTCCAGTCTATCATCGATGGGCATTTGGCTTGGTTCCAGGTCTTTGCTATTGTAAACAGTGCTGCAATGAACATTCGTGTGCACGTGTCCTTATAGCAGAATGATTTATAATCCTTTGGATATCTACCCAGTAATGGAATTGCTGGGTCAAATGGAATTTCTATTTCTAGGTACTTGAGACATCACCACACTGTCTTCCACAATGGTTGAACTAATTTACACTCCCACCAACAGTGTAAAAGTGTTCCTATTTCTCCACATCCTCTCCAGCATCTGTTGTCTCCAGATATTTTTAAGGATCACCATTCTAACTGGCATGAGATGGTATCTCAATGTAGTTTTGATTCGCATTTCTCTGATGACCAGTGATGATGAGCATTTTTTCATATGTTTGTTGGCCTCATGTATGTCTTCTTTTGTAAAGTGTCTGTTCATATCCTTTGCCCACTTTTGAATGGGCTTGTTTGTTTTTTTCTTGTAAACCTGTTTTAGTTCTTTGTAAATTCTGGATATCAGCCCTTTGTCAGATGGATAAACGGCAAAATTTTTTTTCCCATTCTGTCGGTTGCCAGTTCACTCTAATGACTGTTTCTTTTGCCGGGCAGAAGCTATGGAGTTTGATTAGGTCCCATGTGTCTATTTTGGCTTTTGTTGCCAATGTTTTTGGTGTTTTGGTCATGAAGTCTTTGCCTATGCCTATGTCCTGAATGGTTTTGCCTAGATTTTCTTCTAAGGTTTTTATGGTGTTAGGTCTTATGTTTAAGTCTTTAATCCATCTGGAGTTAATTTTAGTGTAAGGTGTAAGGAAAGAGTCCAGTTTCTGCTTTCTGCACATGGCTAACCAGTTTTCCCAACACCATTTATTAAACAGGGAATCCTTTCCCCATTGTTTGTTTTTGTCAGGTTTGTCAAAGATCAGATGGTTGTAGATACGTTGTGTTGCCTCCAAGGCCTTTGTTCTGTTCCATTGGTCTATATCTCTGTTTTGGTAAAAAGTACCATGCTGTTTTGATTACTATAGCCTTGTAGTATAGTTTGAAGTCTGGTAGTGTGATGCCTCCCACTTTGTTCTTTTTGCTTTGAATTGACTTGGCTATGTGGGCTCCCTTTTGGTTCCATATGATGTTTAAGGTGTTTTTTTCCAGTTCTGTGAAGAAGGTCATTGGTAGCTTGATGGGGATAGCATTGAATCTGTAAATTAGTTTGGGCAGTATGGCCATTTTCACGATATTGATTCTTCCTAACCATGAACATGGAGTGTTTCTCCATCTGTTTGTGTCCTCTCTTATTTCGTTGAGCAGTGGCTTGTAGTTCTCTTTGAAGAGGTCCTTTACAGTCCTTGTTAATTGTATTCCTAGGTATTTTATTCTCTTTGTGTCAATTGTGAATGGCAATTCATTCTTGATTTGGCTCTCTTTAAGTCTGCTATTGGTGTATAGGAATGCTTGTGATAGGAAAGGAGGAAGTCAAATTGTCTCTATTTGCAGACGACATGATTGTTGTATATCTAGAAGACCCCATCATCTCAGCCCCAAATCTCCTGAAACTGATAAGGAATTTCAGCAAAGTCTCAAGATACAAAACCAATGTGCACAAATCATTCTATTATAAGGACACATGCACACGAATGTCATTGCAGCACTGTTTACAATAGCAAAGACTTGGAACCAACCCAAACACCCACTGATGATAGACTAGACAGGGAAAATGTGACACATATACACCATGGAATACTGTGCAGCCATAAAAAGTGATGAGTTTGTGTCCTTTGTGGGGACATGGATGAACCTGGAAACCATCATTCTCAGCAAACTGACACAAGAACAGAAAATCAAACACCACCTGTTCTCTCTCATAGGTGGGTTTGGAACAATGAGAACACATGGACACAGGGAGTGGAGCATCACACACTGGAGTCTGTTGGGGGGAACTAGGGGAGGGACAGCTGGGGGTGGGGAGTTGGGGAGGGATAACATGGGGAGAAATGTCAGATATAGGTGATGGAGAAGAAGGCAGCAAACCACATTGCCATTTATGTACCTATGCAATAATCTTGCATGTTCTTCACATGTATCCCAAAACCTAAAATGCAAGAAAATATATTTTTTAAAAAGTATACTGTAGATGCATATCACTAGTTGCTAGCAAAAAAAGATGAAAGGAAATTAATATTATAGACCATATTTACTAACCCAACCCATTGCTATCTTAAAAACTGTCCCTAACTTTCCACTAATGGCAATATAATAGCTGAGGGCTTTCCACTCAAAGGCACCAAGTCAGACCCTTTAACTTACTAATTTTAGTGTGACAACTTTGTAAGGTAGATGGCACACCTAATTGGCATATAGAAAAACTGAGGCTCAAAGAAGTTACCTAACTTGTCAAAAATTACATGGCTGCTAACTAAGTGGAGAAGCAAGAAATCAAACCCAAAGAATGTAAGCCCTGATAAACTACATGTGCAAAAGAACAAACTGACTAGCTAGACTAGAATCACACCTTCAAAACTGTATTCAAGATTAACAATTTTGCATAGTAGAAATATCTAATTTTGAAAATCTGTATTAAAATGGTTCTTAAGTTCTTTCTTAAGTTCTTAAGTTTCTTTTTAAAAATAAATACTTATAAAATGACTGGTCTGGATAGCAAAATATCACTACCGTAGGGGGAAAGGGAGAAAATTTTCTAGGATAAAAAAAACTAAAGACATAACAAGCAAATGCAACACTCAGCCCTTAATTGATTCCTGGTAGGAACAAAATGACTAAAAATATTTTGGGCAAAACTGGGAAAATTTGAGTATTAACTCAATTTTAGATTATATGTTTGAATTATTAATATTGTTATAGGTTGATGGTGTTGTGTTACAAAAGAAAGGCTTTTTAGAGATAAATGCTGAAATAGAGAGTAGCTTTTACAATTTCTGTAGTTTACCTTAAAATAATTCAGCAAAACAATTAAAATATATAACAAATGGTAACAATTATGAAAATCAGGGAATGAGTATATAGTTGTAGATTGTACTACACTTCTTACTTTTTTACATGTTTGAATATTTTTCAAGACAAAAAATCAAAAAATTTTAATTGCTTGTATTAAAAACTTCAGTGTTTATTTTTCAGCTTTAAACACTGTCTGCACCAGTACTTGGCACCACATTACTTTTTTAAATCCTCTGTCCTTTATTAACCTTGTCTTATTGACAAGGAAATATGGTGTTCCATCACATTAACTGTCATAAGGCAATCACTCTGCTTACTTTGAGAGTCCAACAGGAAAGAGTGAATCATCTGTTCCTGTTGGGAGAACCTGGGCCATGGTTGTTCATTTCTCCATAAGTGCCATCAATCACTGTTGTACACTCATCAGGCACATAAGTTTATCATTGAGAACCTCTGATCGTCATTGTGTTCATCAGGAAGAAATTGATGTACAAAGGACTACTGTCATCCTCAGCAAACCATAACTATTCTTTAAAAGCAAATTCCTTGACACAAGTGACCTTATCTTAAATCTAATAAATTTCCTATTTCCAAAAAGCTCAACTGGAGAGGTATAAAACTTGAAAATTCTCTTGTGCTTTCTCTTATTTTGCTTCTAGTTGCCATCCTCAAAGGACTGACTAAAAGCAAGCAATTGGATTGAACACCCTAAGAAGAAAGATTTGCACTGCACCAGGTATGTGGATATTTTTTCTAAATTCCAATTCTAGATTCTAATAAACTAAATAGCTTTCAAGTAACATACAGTATATTAAGTAATAGCAATAGTTGTTCTGACACAGTTATTCTCCTCTTTTCTTTTGAACTGCCAAACTGTGTGATAACATTCAATTCATATATTATTAGAACAAAATGTGATTGGTAGGAATGTTTTTTGGTCTTGAAAATAAAAATTAATCTGACAATGTATTGGGAAACTGAAGAATAATAAGTAACCATTTCTTTTTTCAATTGGGCCAGATTGTTTTCTTCTTAGTATGCTAGTACTATAATAATACCACTGAGACTTTATTATGGATAAGGCATTTTTCTCAGTATGATTTGTAACACATATTATTCCAGTCAATACTCAGGACATTCTTATGATATAAGATTGCAACTCAGAGTCATGCAGTGAGTGGCAGAGTCACACAATAAGTGGGCAGAGCTTAAATCAAGTCTCTGACTGACTCTAACACTGTTTTATAAACCACAGGATTGTATTGTAAAGTGTGTCTAATCTGACAGCCCACCTACCACACTGACATGCACACTAACTTACTTGCTCTAATATGTCATCTGTCTGTATAATTTAACCTTTATTTTTTTCTAAAGCTGATAAGCTGACATGTACTTATTACATATATAACCAAAACAAGAAAAATAAAAGACTGCATTATTCTCTCACTCTTCCCTTCTACAACCTATAGTCAAAATACAATTCTCTTTTGCGAGTAGTTATTTTTTAAAAAGTATTAAGTCTGCACTATTTACTAGGCATGATGATATAGCAATGAATAAAGCAAAATTCCTGTCATTTTTGGATTTAAGAAAAGGATATCAGCCAGACACAGTGGCTCACACCTGTAATCCCAGCATTTTGGGAGGCCGGTTTGGGTGGATTGCTTTAACCCAGGAGTTCAAGACCAGCCTGGGCAACACCGTGAAACCCTGTGTCTACAAAAAATAAAATAAAATAATAATAATAACAATAATAACAATAAGTAGGAGTGGTGACATATGACCGTAGTCCCGGCTACTAGGGTGTCCAAGGTGAGAAGATTGCCTGAGCCTGGCTGGTGCAGGCTGCAGTGAGCCATAAGCATGCCACTTCACTCCAGCCTGGACAACAGAGTGAGAACCTGTCTAAAAAAAAGGTAAAAGAAAAAGGATCTCAAATGGCAAAATCTTCAGTAGAATTAAATTAGGGGAAAAGTCCATTTGACATGATTCTTTGTTCCAAGTGACAGCCTCATATCACAGAGACAAAGAGCATCTTCCTACAACATCAGGAATCTTTACAAAACTGTGCAGTATTAGGTCATTTATATGATGGTTTCCCAGAGAGAGAGAGACAAAGAGAGAGAGAGAGAGAAGAGAGAGAGAGAGAGAGAGAGAGAGAGAGAGAGAGAGAGAGAGACGTCTTGAATTAGAATAGAAATAAGAAGATAATTTCCTTCTCTTATTGCTAAACTTCCTAAGATCCTGCCTTTCCTAGCCAATCTTTAAGATCAATAGATCCTCATTTGGCAAACTAGTTAGAAAAATTCTTGACTCTCCTCCATTGCTTCCTCTTTAAAATAATGCATTTTAGGCCTGAAGCAATTTTGTATCACCCCTATGGAATGCAAATGTATACATAATTTTCAGAAACCATTGGTCTCTTTTAGCCTGTACTGTCTAATAATGATAAGTCATTTACCAAAATGCATTCCTCTCCTATAATATCATAGCTAATAGTAAGCCAAGTTTCTGCTTTTCCCAGGAGACATTAGAAAGAATGGAAACTCTGCCGCTGTTTGTGTGCATCTGTGCACTGAGTGCTTGCTTCTCGGTAAGTATCTACCTAAATAAGATTTTTCTTTAAGTATCAATAGCACCTACCTGGGACTTTTAAAGCATAAGCAATCCCTATTTCCAAGAATTTTGACATCTTTTATTTCCATGAAACATAAAAATATAGATAATTGGCCAGTGCAGTGGCTCACACCTGTAATCTCAGCACTATGGGAGGCCAATAAAGCAAAATTCCTGTCATTTTGGGATTTAAGAAAAGGATATCAGGAGTGAGGATCACTTGAGCTCAGAAGTTCAAGATAGCCTGAGTAAAATAATAAGACTGTGTCACTATTAAAAAAAAATTCAATTAGCTAGGTATGGTGGTACATGCCTGTAATCCCAGCTACTCGGAGGCTGAGGTGGATCTTGAGTCTGAGAAGTCAAGGCTGTGGTAATCTGTAATCACACCACTATGCCCCAGCCTGGGCAACAAAATGAGACTCTGCCATAAAAAGATAGATAGATAGATAGATAGATAGATAGATAGATAGATAGATAGATAGATAGATAGATAGATAGATAGGTAGATAGAGCATAAGGAAATAATTTATCCAGTATCTATAGAGCACAAACTTTATGATGAGTTTGATGAGTTCTGACAGAGATGAAAACTCAGATTTGTAAGGCCTTTAGGTCTTGGTATGGAATATGGATTGAAATCTGTCAGGAAGTCTCAGCATGATCAAAGCACCCCCAGGGGAGTAACATGATGGGATTCTCAGGAGAAAACAGGTAGCAGGGAACAAAAGCTGAGATGAGGAGACGTAGTAAGGAAGCTATGGCAGTGGTCCAGATAAAAGATGATGGCGACTTGCACTAAATGTCAGCAGTTAAAAGATGAGAGTGGTTTTAGGATATATTTTTGTGATTGAGTCTACTATATCATCTGCCGGATTGTGTATGTAGTCAAAGAAAGAAATGAACAGGCCAAGTACATTGGCTCAGGCCTATAGTCCCAGCACTTTGGGAGGCTGAGGCGGGCAGATCACCTGAGGTCAGGAGTTCGATACCAGCCTGGCCAACACGGCAAAACCCCGTCTCTGCTAAAAATACAAAAAGTAGCTAAGTGTGGTGGCTGGCACCTGTAATTCCAGCTCGGAAGGCCGAGGCAGGAGAATTACTTGAACCTGGGAGGTGGAGGTTGCAGTGAGCTGAGATCATGTCACTCCAGCCTGAGCAACAGAGCAAGACTGTCCCCCCTCCAAAAAAAAATGAACAAAAATGTTCTAGTTTGAGGCATGTTACATTTGAAATGGCTGTTAGATTTCTACATCTAGATATTAAGAAGAAAGTGGATATACATTGTCTGGAGTTCAGAAAGCAATCTAGGGGTAAAGTCTATATTTAAAGCATATTTGAAGCCATGAGACCTTACAAGATCACCTACAGAGAAAATGTAGGGCATTTGGATACGGATTGAGAAAATGGAGGAGTCACAAGAGTGGACAAGAAAGTATGGCTTCCAAAACCAAGAGGCGATTACAAAGTGGACCTTCTATCTTTAAGAAATTTAGGGTATACTGGCAAAGGAAGGTTAAAATTAATAATGATACAAGGTGATTACAAGGTGATACATGCTGTAATAATAAAAATACTTTTCTCTAATGCTATGTACCTGTAAGTATTTATTCAATTTTATTTTAACAAAATTTCAAATAAGGATCAAGAAGTGGAATGTACTTTTATTGAAGTGAGGATAGATAGCCTCAGAATATTATGCCAGCAGAGTAGACAGGGCAGAAGAACTGAGGAAGTGGATGGAATTTACTCTTGAATATTCTCTTATTTCCCACTTACCATATAATAGCCACCAAAAAACAATCTTAGGCTTTTTCCCTGCACCCTAAAGCTGATTTTGTGACTGTAGAAGAGCGTTCAAGCTGGGCTCAGAAGATGTGGACTTAAACTCATCTCTAACGTTTACCATCCAGATGAATCTTGAGCAATTTAGAATCTATCTACAGGTCCCAATTTCCCTATGTGTAAAATAATAGTAACACTATATGCTTCACAAGGCTGCTGAAGGGTAAATGGGAATTTATAAATTATAATATATAGTGTAAATGTAAAAATTATGGCTTAAGACTATTATAATCTTAACTAACATACTAGTTGATAAGGCTTTAAGTTCTGAATACACACGGTGATGTTAACTTTTTAAAAATGTAAATATTAATAAGGAATCTGTGGCTACCAACACCTCTTTATTGAAAGAAATAACTTTCCAATCAACACAAATAATTATGTTATGTGGAATGATGAAACCTGGGTTTCTCTTCGGAGGTGGCCTTTCATCATACCTCCCACAAATCAAGACACCTAAAGAATCCTTTCTTCCAAGTGCTTAGAATAAATAAAACTCTTTAAACTTCCCAAATCTCAAAAAGTGAGCCAAGACAGCACCACTGCACTTTAGCCTGGGCAAAAGAGTGAGACTCTGTCTCAAAAAAAAATAAAAAGAAAAGAAAATACAGAAATGTACCAGAGAGTAGCATCAACTCACAGCCAGAAAAGGTCGGCCCTGGAGCTCTAGCAACAACCTGCTTTTATGGAGTGATTTCAAGGAGCAGTTAGTCTGACTTCTCTGTTCCAGATATCCCAAAGGAAGACTTGAAGGGATGTATTCTAGAGGCAGATGAAGAGTTCTGTCGAGTATAGCATTATTCAACATAATGCTTTTATTGTCTTTTTAAAAGGATCACAGATTTTCAAATGGTCATGAAAAATAAGCTAGTAGCAAATGAAGAAATTTAATGTACTTTCTAATTTCAGTTAAATTAAATCTTGAGCTGAGTGTGGTGGCTCACACCTGTAATCCCAGCACTTTGGGAGACCAAGGTGGGCAGGTCACCTGAAGTCAGGAGTTCAAAACCAGCCTGGCCAACATGGTGAAACCCTGTCTCTACTAAAAATACAAAAATTAGCCAGGCATGGGATGCACACTTGTAATCCCACCTTCAAGGAAGCCTGAGGCAGGAGAATCCCTTGAACCCAGGAGGCGGAGGTTGCAGTGAGCTGAGATCACACCACTACACTCCATCTGGGTGGCAGAGAGACTCCGTCTCAAAAAAAAAATTTTTTTAATGTAATCTTGACCTTGTACTCTTCTAGTTCTCTTCCTATTTCTTTTTTTTTTTTTTCATTTATGACTATTTCTTTCATGACAATTTTTCCCTGCTCTTCCTTCCTCAGATAATTTGACATTCCTCTAGTGATTTTTAAAGTTTTCTGCTCTCTCATACCACCACTTTCTTGCTCCAAGTGTCAGGTGTCTCTCCTCCTTCCATGACTCCAGCCTGTTGCGGAAAATTTTACCTGACAAGAAACCCAAGCAGCACTCAGGGAAACAGAGGAACACACTTTATTACGCCGGCGGGCCCAGAAGGGTTCACACCCAAAAGTCTGGACCCCGGCTAAGAAAAGTACACAAGGGTGAAGGGGTAGGGGAAGTAACTCAGAACTGTAGACAGCGCAGCAGGTTTTAGACAACGCGGCAGTTTTCCTTAAGGTTTGTAGCTAGTAAGCAATACGCTGAGATACAGAAGCAGAAAGAGGCAGTTATTAGCAAAAAAAAAACAGGGACAGTTTTAAAACAAGGAAGTTGCTGACTGTGCTAACAGAATCCTGGGCAAAATTTCCACTTCATCCCCCACTTTGATGCTCTCTTATGGATGTTAGGGAGCAGCATCACCTTTACACCCTGGTGCCTGTATGTAGCGGCTTGTACCCACGGAGGGCCAGCAACTGAGCATTTGTTTTTCTAATTACCATGGATTCAATGAAGCACCGAAGTATGTTAATTAGGCAAGGGCCAAGAAGAGTACTAATAGCAAAACAGAAAGTGACATTTTACACCAGACATGGGCAAGGAATGTCCCTCGAGGGACGACAATGATGACAGCACAACAGTAGAACAACCAATGCTGTCAAAATCGTTTTAAGTATTATGACTTCAGTCCACATTTGCCGATTCAGTGGAGGCTCCTCGAGCTCCGGCCCTGCGTTGACTAGTCAGCTGCCGGTTGTGTGACTAGAGCAGGGCTTGACGAGTTCTCAGGACTCAGCCCGCCGGAGCATGATTTTCGTGGGGTGCCGAGGGTCTGATGTGCAGTTCACCAGCCTAGCAATGTGTTTGGGTGGGCCCTCTTGGCTCTGGAATAGGGTACCCACAAAACGACTCATGCAACCTTGAGAGCAGTTGGGGTGACAAGGATTACAGTATGGGGCCCCGTCCAGACAGGCTGAAGGGGTTTCTTCTTCCAATCCTTTACCCAGACCTGGTCCCCAGGTTGGAAGGGATATACTGGATTGGCTAGGGAGATAGGTGCTTTCTCTATTGCAAACTGACTGACCTAGGACAGCACCTTTTCTAATGCCTGTATATAATGTAATGATGTTAAGCTTGTTTCCCCCAGCTGTCTGAGGTCTCCCCTCACCTTGTTAACCAGAAGGGGGAGCCTCCCGAATAGGATTTCAAAGCGTGAGTAACTGGCAGGTCCCGATGTACACCATGACCGCAACAGGACTAGGGGAAGCATATCTACCCAGGAAGCCCGGGTTTCCTGACAGAGCTTTGCTAGTGTAACCTTCAGGGTTTGATTTATGCGCTTCACTTTCCCTGAACTTTGTGTCCTGTAGGCTGTGTGAAGTTTCCACTTAATCTTGAGCACGCTGGTGAGGGCTTGATCTTTGCCACAAATGCTGGCCCTTTGCCACAAATGCTGGCCCATTGTCACTGTGTGTATGGTGAGTGGTATCCTATCTCAGGGAACAATTTCACGAAGTAGGACTTTCACTGATTTTCAAGCCCTTTCCGTCTTGGTTGGGAATGCCTCAGCCCAGCCCCAGTATGTACATACAAGGACCAGCAGGTATTTATACCCTTTACTGGGCTTGTCTTCAGTGAAGTCCACCTCTATGTCCTCAAAGGGGTAGCTGCTCACCCGTTGCACCCCTGGGCAGGTTTCAGCCACTGTGGGGGGTTGTTTTAGCATAGGTAAGGCACTAATTGCTTACTGCAGCACAGAGAGTTGCCATATAGTAATAGCTGTTGAGTAAGGTCTCCAGAGCAGTTTTACCTAGGTAGGCGAGACTATGGCATGGAGTAACGACGGTATGAGCCAAGTTCCTAGGCACCACTGATCTGTCATCAGGGAGTAGCCACCATTCTCCAGGACTCTGCTTTGCCCCCTCCTGCTGTGCCTACAGGTTTTTTGTTTTTTGTTTTTAAAGAGTACTCTGGCTTTCCCACATCCTCTCGGAGCCAAGGGGTGATTGTGAACAAGTGGATGGGGGCCTGCACAGGCCCTTTCTTCAGTGCCGCTGCCTTAGCTTCTAGGTCAGCCAGCCAGTTTCCTGTAGAGAAAAGATCAGCTCCTCTTTGGTGGCCCTTGTAATGTAAGACAGCCACCTCTTTGGAATTTCTTCCTTATTTTTGACTTTTTTTCCTCCTGCTCTTAGCAGCCCTCTTTCTATTCAGTGGCAGACACAGGACAGAACCAAACCTCCATTGCTAGTCTGTTGTGACATGTTTCAAACATGTTCCTCTGAGATCTGGACATTCTTCAGAGCATCCCCAGAGACCATCTGGAAAGGGAGAGACTGAGATTGTGGAATGTGAGGCCTCAATCCTGCTTCAATCAGAGCAGGTCTCTAATTATCTGGATTGCATATTGAATCTCCAGGGAAAGATCCATTTGAACAATATGACCTGTTTATTTTATATGATAAAACAACTACCCTTGTAATGGAAAGGATCTCCTCAGAGATTCCTGGAGTCAGTGTCACCGAGTCTGAAAATCTATGGCCTTTTAAGAGAGATCTATGGAAAAATATCAAAGTCATGAGTATCAGAAGCCATTGTGTTATCTAATGCCTGTTCTCAGTTATGAATTAAAATTTTCTGGATAATTTAATTTTGTAAACAAACAATACTTTCTTATATTGATGGATGTTGTAAAGAACATCTAGATCTTAAAGGAACATGTTTGAAACACACTGCAACAGACCAGCAGTGGAGGTTTGAGTCTGTCCTGTGTCTGCCAATGAAGAACTGAGTGACTTTGAGCAAGTCACTTAATATGCCTGGATCTCAGTTTATTCATTTATGAAATGATTTGGATTAAATTCCAGATCCAAAGTCTAACTCTACGACCTCTTTGCTTTAAAATAGTTATGTGGTTCATTCCCTTAATCACATGAGTCTCACAAGAGTCCCTGTTTCATTCACCTCTGTAAGCCCAATACCTAGAAGCTATTTTTGAGGCTGAATATATTAGTCTCTGAGGAAGTTATCTTAGTTAAACAACTCTACCAGTCTCTCAGAAGTTGTTATTTCATCGCACTAAACTTTGTATCCAAAGAGAGCTTATAACTTGGGACTGGAATAATTTACCTATTTGGTGATCTAAAAAGGGTTTTGTGGAAATCATTAGGAAGAAAACCTATCCTTGTTTGGGACTTTGGTATTTTATCATTTATCTTGTTAATATTTCTTTTTTCCAATTTAATATAACTGATCACTAAAAAATGTAGTTTGAGATTGAATACAGGGAAGAGGGATATAAAAGGCAAGCAGTATGTTTACAGATAAGAAACTGAAACAGTGATGGTACTCTAACTCAAATAATGTCATCAGTGGCTAAAGGAAATAAAAATATTCATCTTGCAAAAGATAAGACCAACGTGGCATAGAAGTTATTTTCAAATTTTGAAGGACTCCTGGATCTTCTGTAAATCTACCAAAACATAAAATTAGGACCAAAGAATGGAAATCTTCATGAAGAAATTTCTATTTGGTTAAGAATGGAAATCCCCAAAAACAAACCTACATTCAGTATCAAGAAGAAGTCTCTACCAGGCTTGCCTTAGGAATTACAGTAGTGAGTTCCTTATCAGAAGAAGATACATGCATAGACTAGAAAATCTTTTTCAGGTGTATTGAAAAAAGATCAAGTATCAGATGAGCAGTTAGACTAGATCAGTGTTCTTTTCAGATGTAAATACCTTTGAGAAATAATGAAAACCACTGGTGATCTATCCAGAAAAATGTATAAACATGCAAATTTTCTCTAAAAATCAGATGTTTCATGAACCTCCTGAATCATGAATTCTGTAATTCTAATTTTTAAAATAATAAAATTAAAAGGTAATGACCAAAGTTGTTTCTCTGATTTATAAAGGCTAAAAACTGTTTCCTGAAATATGGAGAACACAAAGCTTGGGTGGGATATTTCATTTGTTGAGGCTTTTGTTGTTGTTTGACAGTTTCGTGTTTTGATGATAATAGATATGAGGCGTGTAGTTCAGAAAGGGCTCCTGGATCTCAGTTGAATGTTTTTGACTAAAGTTTTGTGAACAGGCTGAGCAAGCAAGGAGCCTTTTTGCTAGGACCTCAGGCAGTAACTTGACCATTTTCTACCAGAGAAAGAAGAAAGGAACTGTAAGCATAAAAGTTCATGTCCAGCTAAGCATTCAAGCTAAAGTCCATGAGAATATATTCATCCCAACTATCTAGAGAGTAGACATTTGACAAAAGAAAATTCTCTAGTAGCAATTCTTTCTTGAAACTTAGTGAAATTAGAAAGCTAATCACTTGACTTAATAATGTATTCTGGTTTCTAATCTCAAAACTCCACAAATACTGTTCATCTCATGTTCAGCAGTGATCACCTAATTGATAAATAAATGGATACTTTTTTTCATTTCTTATATTTTCTTTCTTTTCTGCAGTTCAGTGAAGGTCATAAAAGGGGTCACGAACTACAGCACAGAAGGCATTATCACCATTTTCCTGAACATCACTTTAAATTTCCACATCATTCTGGACCGCTACCTCACCAGCAGCCAGTCCATAAAATCCCCCATAAGTGTCTACACAAACGCTGCAGGCCTAAGCCTCCGCCTTCACCTATTTACCCCCCACACAAATTCCCACATCCTCACCAGCCACATAAATGTCCAGATAAAAATAACAGTGTGGTCACCCACACCACAGTGGCTACAACCCAAATTCCATCTACAAGTTCCCCATCTGCTTCCACCAAAATTACTACCCTTCCAAATGTGACTCCTCTTCCTCAAAATGCTACCACCACATCTTCAGGAGAAAATGCTCACCCAAGCTCTCCTGTAACTACATTAACACCAGAGAATTCCTCAGCTCCAACAGAGGCCACAACTGCTCCATCCACACCTTCTACAACTACGCCAGCTCCACCACCTTCCTCAACTCCACAGGAGACCACAGCTGCCTCACCCACACCTTCTGCAACTACACCAGCTCCACCACCTTCTTCAACTCTACAGGAGACCACAGCTGCCCCATCCACATCTTCTGCAACTACACCAGCTCCACCACCTTCCTCAACTCCACAGGAGACCACAGCTGCCCCAGTTATAGTCACTACTCAAACTACTACTTCTAACCAGCCAACTACAGCTGCCACCCAAACTAAAATTTCTCAATTTCTTTTATATCTAAAGAATCTACTAAACCAAATGATTGATAAAGCAGTGGAGAAATAGTATATGATATGTTGTAAAGTGTTCTGTCTTTTCAAGATGTGATTTATGAGTGCAGAACTACCATCTTTACTTTTAGCACCAATCCCAAGATGAAATTTTATTACTCAAATTTAAAGCACTACCACTAACCTTTCAAACTAATTATTCACCACCACAAGACCTATTAACAGTACAAAATGCCTCTATCCCACAAGCCAGGTGCAGGTCTGAGATTCAAAATCACTCTTTGGGGCCTGCAGAGATAGTCTACCAAGGGCAGAGAAAGTCCTTAGATAAAGAGAGAATATTGTATGGGTCATCAAACATTTACTTCTCCCTAAATGTTGGAAACTACAAGATCACTACCTTGTACCCCCATCAAAATCCCACCTGAACCATCTAATCCTATAAATATAAAGGGATAAAGTTGGATCTCTCCAGATGAACAAAGACATCTAAATATCTGTAGATATAAACATTTATCTAGCTAAATCTATTGGTAGACCTGTCATTGATTAATGACAAACCCTTTAGATAATTATTTTTAATTTTAAATAAAATTGTATTTCACAAAATGTGAGCCAAGAAAGGGGAAAGTTGATTCGAAGTGAAGATTAGAAATGAATAATAAAAGCCAAGCATGAACCAAGACTGGCACTATTTTTCCGAGTGTATATAATTGTTTAAACTGCAAGGTTGACATTTATTACATTGTATCTAAGTTAACTTAGATCTGATGTGCTTGATTCTAGCCTCTGTAAACCATAAGAATATAACTTTGTATGTTCACATGGTGCTCACAATATTTCACTCTCGATTCAATTAATTCACATAAATTCCATGTGAAATGTATTCAACAATGGAATATTTTCTAAAACACTTAATATATATTTGCATGTATTTTAAAACATGCCAAACTACTGCTTTAATGCCAAATTTGCAGAATTGTCTCTGAAAATAAAAGCCCCGACTTTAGTTGTAAAAGAATAAAAGTTAGCTACTTGGTATATGGAGATGTTCATTTGGGATGTGGAGGCATTTTTATCTTCTGTCACTACTGCTTAAAACTCTGATGATTATGTTTAATTTTTTGCTAACTAATAAAGATTTCAAATGGCAATTTATATTCATCTTGTGTATCTGGAAGTTTCTTGCCTTTCTTAGTCTCTGAGACTAGTGAAAAGAGACCTAACTGAAGATTTGCATTTTTGTCAATGTCAAAGTATATTCTTAAGTATTTTATAACGAATCATAAACTTTTTTTTTCCAGAAGTCTTATTTTATACTTGTGAAACTGAACATGATTTTTGGACAATGTTTAAACATTACTTTTCATACTTGAAATAAACATTTTTGTCAACTCTACCACTAATCAGCCAAATGACTCGGGTAGGACACTCTATCTCTAAACATTAATTTTCTTTATTCTACAAAGTGATTAATTTACTTAAATTAACTTAATCTTATTAATATATATTTCCAATCCAAATTATGTGTGTGCCCTATGCTTCTCAAGCTTACAAGTAAAGATCCCATTTCTTTCACTTTACTCTGTCCATGTAGGCTCATCTTGGTAGCTCTGTATAGATCAGCCCATGACTGATCACAGCAGGAATACTGAAATCTGACCATTTCTGCCCAAAATAGAACTCCTGCAACAGGCAGTCTTTGCTTCAGATTCAACTCTTTTATTTGGCCTGTGCAGAAGACAAATGGATCTTGGAGACTTTACAGAAGATTGTCATGAGCTTAACTGAGTGGTGACTCCAACTGCAGCTGCTGAACCAGATATGGTTTCAGTGCATGAAAAAATTTGCATATCTCCTGTTACCTGGTATACAGCTATTGACTTGACCAATGCTTTGTTTCCTGATACCTGTTACTAAAGACCACCAGAAGCCATTTTCTTTTGGTTGGCAGGCTGACAATCTACATTCCCTGTCCTACCCCAGGAGTATATCAGCTCTCTAGCCTTAAGTCATAATCTAGTTCACAGATCTTGATCACCTTTCCTTCCACAAAATATAACACTGTCATCACACTGATGACATTATGCTGGTTGGACCCAGTAAGTAAGAAATAGCAGACACTCTAGATTTATGAATAACACATTTGTGTGTAAGGTGGAAAATAAGTGTGATGAAGAATCTGAGGCCTTTTATTGTAGTGAAATTTCTAGGGGTCTGGTGGTATGGAGCTTGCTGAGTTATCCCTTCCACGGTGAAGGATAAGTTGTTGCATCCATCCCCTTCAACAATTAAGATGCCTATTTGGGTTTTGGAGGCAACACTGTCCTCATTTGGCTGTGTTACTCTGGCCCATTTACTGAGTGACCTGAAAAGCTGCTGGTTTTGAGTGGGGTCTAGAACAGAGACAGCTCTGCAACAGGTCCAGGCTGCTGTACAAGCTGCTTTGTTACTTGGGCCATATCATGCAGCAGATTCAGTGGTATTCGAGGTGTCAGTGGCACAGGGGGATGCTATTTGGAGCCTTTGGCAGGCTCCTATAGGTGAATTATAGCAGAGGCTTTTAGGATTTGGGGGCAAGGCCTTGCCATCATCCACTGCTTTTTTGGGAGACAGGTTCTGACTTGCTACTGGTCTTTAGAAGAAACTGAATATATAACCATGGGCCACCAACTTACCATATGACCTGAACTGCCTATTATGAACTTGGTGTTATCCAACCTACCAAGCCATAAAGTTAGGTGTACACAGCAGCACTCCATCATCAAATGGAAATGATGAGCCCTAGCAGGTCCTGAAGGCAAAAGTAAGTTGCCTTATGAAGTGGCCTAAGTGTCCATGGCTCCTGCTACACTGCCTTCTCTCTCCCAGCCTGCACCTGTGGCCTCATGAGGAATATCCTATACTCAATTGACAGAGGATGAGAAGACTAGGGTCTTAATGAAAGATGGTTCTGCATGATATGCAGGCACCACTCAAAAGTGGATGGAAAATCAGTGACAAAGAACTTTGAGAAATAGGTATGCGGATAGATCTCAGTAGGCAAAGGATATGAAGATATTTTTCAGCCATGTGAATGCTCAGCACAGGAGGACTTTAATAATCAAGAGGACAGAATCACCTGTTCTGTGGCTCCCAGTCTCCTTCCCAGGCACCCCGTAATCATCTAACCGGTTTATGGCAATGGTGGAGGGGATAGATGTTATGCATGGGCTCAGCAACATGTCTTCCACTCACCAAGGATGACCTGGCTATGGCCACCACTGAGTGCCCAGTCTGCCAGCTTAAACCAACACTGAGACCCTGATTTTGCACCATTCCCTGGGGTGATCAACTGGCTACCTTGTGGCAGGTTTATACCGGATGGCTGTCATCATGGAAGGGACAGCATTTTGTCCTTTCTGGAATAGACACTCTGAATACAAATTTGCCTTCTCTGCATGCAATGCTTCTGCCAAAACTACCATTTGTGGACTTAATGAATATCTTAGCCTCAGTCATGGTATTCCACACCATTTTGCCTCTGACCAAGGAACTTGCTTTATAGCCAAAGAAGTGCAATAGGCTCATGCTCATGCTCATGGAAGTCACTGGTCTTACAATATTCCACATCATCCTGAAGCAGCTGACTTGATAGCTCAGTGAAACAGCTTTTTGAAGTTGCAGCTACAGTGCCAGGTAGGTGTGAGTACTTTGCATGGTTGGGCCAAAGTTCTCCAGAAGGCTTTAATGCTCTGAATCAGCATCCAATGTATGATACTATTTCTCCCATAGTTAGGATTCACATGTTCAGGTATCAAGAGGTGGAAATGAGAGTGGCGCCACTCGCCATCACCCCTAGTGATCCACTAGCAAAATTTCTGCTTCCTGTTCGCATGACATTATATTCTGCTGACCTAGAGGTCTTAGTTTAAGAGGAAGGAATTCTTTACTAGGAGACACAACAATAATTCCGAAGAACTGGAAATTAAGACTGCCACCAGCCAGTTTAAGCACCTCATGCCTCCAAGTCAATAGGTTAAAAAGAGAGTTAAAATGTTGATCAAGGTGACTGATCTGAACCTCCAAGGGGAAACTGGGCTTGTACTCCACAATGGAGGGAAAAAAGTGTATGTTTGAAATACAAGAAATCCTTAGGAAAGTCTCTTAGTATTATCATGTCCTGTGATTAAGGTCAATGAGAAATAACAACCCAATCCAACAACAACCCAATTCAAGCAGGGCTATGAATGAACTCTAGACCCTGCAGGAAGGAAAGTTGGGTCACCCCACAAGGAAATATATCAACCACAGGAACGCAAGGCAAAGAGAATAAAGAATGGGTAGTAATAAATATCAGCTATGAGCACATGACCAGTTACAGAAACAAGAACTGTAATTGTCATAAGCATTTCCTCCCTATTTCATTAAGAAAATGTTTGTGCATACACACATACACACACACATGTATATATATATGTATATATATGCATATACTAAACAAATATTTCTATTTTCTTTCATCTGTTATTCTTTTATCATGTAACCTAAGATTGATTGAACTTTGGATCAGCAATTAAGTATTATATATATATATATAAAATATATATATATGCATATATATACACACACACGCAAAACATCATAGTACTTTTCCCATCTATTTCATTTCTATGAACACCATAATTAATTGGCAAACACCATAGGTATACAGGAGTCAGACTATTCTGATTGTTGCTTTGCCTCTGCTGTCCATTTTGGTAACTATACTCCCATTTTCCTAGGCAGCTGATTGCCACCGCTTGGCTCCTGCCACCTCAGAATCCAATTATTCCCATTGCATTTCCATTTTCCAGTTGAGTGGCTACAGTCCTTACTGTAATGTCCAAAATAATAGAGAACGGCTATCACAGAGCTTTTCAAGGATACTGATGCTCCCGTCACAAGTCTGTTTCTCAAAGCATTCATGAAAAGTGTATCTTCTGAACTCTCCCAGTGCAGGTGAGTAGACTTTATATGACAAATCAACTTTAGCATTTTAATCTCCCTAAGCCTTTGCATCCCTTCCTGTACATTAAACCATGGGAGATCTGGCGTCTTCATCTTGTTCACGGTGGGTTATGATTTGACTCATGTTTCAGCCAACCAGCAAACCGTTAGTGCCTTAACTCCCAGAGCTGCAACATTAAATGCAGAATTTCTGCTTAGTGGGCCCATGTCAATAAATTCAGCCTCAACCAACTTTATATCCCTTCCACCCTTATCCCACACCCTTAATAGCCATTACCACATATCTTCCCCAGATTTCTGCTTGTATAAGTTATAAAACTCAGGTGGTTCTCTTGGAATGCAGTGCACCTCCTCATGGGCCATACCTTGTACCTCACATTTAGGGACCAGCTGGGACTAGAGTCTTGCTATAGGTATAGAAACAAAAAGGGGTGCTGGGGATGCGTTCCTAGGAGAATCAGCATTGTCTTGACTGGTAACTGCCTCAGGGGAGGTCATTGCTGTTTCTCAGGCAATGCAGCTAATCCCCTCAGACAGAGGTGTAACGGCCACTGTGGGAGGGGATGGAGATGCCACTACCACTGGGGATGGGAGTCCACTTCCCCTGGCAAAAAAAAAAAGACTCATCAGAACACCTCTATGTCCCCAGAGGTATCAGGGTCTTCCCACACATTCTCATCCCAATTTACGGGGTCTCATTCTTTCCCAGTCAATGCCCTCACTTTAATAGTATACACCTTAGCCAGGCACAGCAGCTCTCACCTGTAATCCCAGCACTTTGGGAGGTCGAGGCAGGAGGATCACCTGAGGTCAGGAGTTCAAGACCAGCCTGACCAACATGGTGAAATCCCATCTATACTAGAAATTTAAAAATTAGCTGAGCGTGGTGGTGAGCATCTGTAATCCCAGCTACTCAGGAGGCTGAAGCAGGAGAATCCCTTAAACCTGGGAGGCTGAAGTTGCAGTGAGTCAAGATCATGCCACTACACTCCAACCTGGTTGACAACAGAGTGAGACACTATCTCAAAAAAAAAAACAAGTAGATACCTTGTAAGGCCGAAAGTTCACCTTTCATTGCAAGACAGCCAACAGTATGATGAAGGCTTGTGTTTTATGGCCCAGACTCTGAGTCCATAAAAGGTCCCAGCCAATTGTATGGTGTCTGCCCA